TGCGCGAAAGCTGCAAATGAAGCTGGCCAACCTCTGATAGGAGATAACCATGGTAGCAGAGTGCGATTGTGCAGTACTGCCAGCCTTGCCGCCAGGCTGTGTCCTTGAGGCGAATGCCTCGCGACGTGCGTTCATAATCTGTAGACGCACGAAAGCTGGCCTTGACACTGGCCATCGTCGACTAGAAGACAACCCATGGTAGCCGCAAAGCGTGAGACTGTGCAGGACTGCCGGCCTTGCCGCCGGGATGTGTCCTTGAGGCCACTGCCTGGCGACATACTTGCATTATCTGCGATTGCACGAAAACTGGCAATGACGCTGGTAGGAGTCAGCCATGCAAGCCGGACAACATGGGGTTATGCAGGACTGCCGGCGTTGCCGCCGGGCTGTGTCCTTGAGGCGAATGCCTCGCGACATGCTTAGATAAACTGTGGATGCACGCGAGCTGAAACTGAAACTGGTCGACGTCTGATAGGAGGAACCATGGCGGCAGAGTGCAAATGTGCAGGACTGCCGGCCTTGACGCCGGGCTGTGTCCTTGAGGCGAATGCCTCGCGACGTGCGTTCATAATCTGTGGACGCACGAAAGCTGGCCCTGACTCTGGCCATCGACGAATAGGAGACAAGCCATGGTAACCACAAAGAGTGAGACTGTGCAGGACTGCCTGCCTTGCCGCCGGGCAGTGCCCTTGAGGCGAATGCCTCGCGACATGCTGCATTATCTGCGATTGCACGAAAACAGGCGATGGCGTTAATAGGAGACAACCATGGTAGCCAGACGAAAAGATATTGAGCAGGACTGCCGGCCTTGCCGCCGGGCTGTGTCCTTGAGGCGAAGGCCTCGCGACATGCGTGCAGCATCCGCGGTGCGCGACAGCTGGCACGGCCGCTGGCCACCGTCTAAGACGAGGCCATGGTAAGCGGAGAGAGTTAGATTGTGCAGGACCGCCGGCTTTGCCGCCGGGCTGTGTCCTTGAGGCGAATGCCTCGCGACGTGCGTGCATAATCTGTGGATGCGCGAGATCTGGCACTGCCGTTGGCCTTCGCCTGCGCGCGAGGAGCCAAGCGTAGCATATGCCCGCGTGCGCCTTCAGACAACGAAGTAAAGATCTCGAGGTGAACGACCTCGAGGTATTGACCGCCTTCCTTGCAAGATGGGTAGCGGTGATTGTGCAGGGCCGCCGGCCTTTCCGCCGGGCTGTGTCCTGGAGGGCAGAACCTCCGACTGGAATGCTTCTCCGCTGGCATTGGCGCCAGGCCATGTCCTACGGACACATGCCACACGCTAGGATATGAGCATGTGCAGGACCGCCGGCATTGCCGCCGGGCTGCGTCCTGGAGGTCAGACCCTCCGACTTGTCCGAATGAAAATTGACAAAACCGGGCAGTGTCATGGAGGCGCATGCCTCCTAAGGAAGGTGTGTAGGATCGCCAGTATTGCTGGCAGGCTCCTGGAGGAGAAATCCTCCGGCGTCCTCGTTGAGACCATCTGGCGGAGCCGACAGGCAGCTGGTGTCAACCTCGCCCAGGAGGGCCATGCTTAGCCTGTCACTGGCGAAGCGTGTTCCACCAGGGTGACCACCCAGGCGGGGCCTGTGGCTCTCCGACCCGAACCTGCAAGGTGGGCAATATAAGCACTGCTGGAGGAGGTCCGGTCTAGGGCGACGCATCCTCCTTGTGCTGGGAGGGCACTTGAGCGTGCCTCTTGCCACTGTCGCCCCGCTGTTCACTCCCCTGGGGGCTCGGCTGGGGTGCTCGTCGGGCGTGGGGAATCCACGCCCTTAGTGGCGCCCCGTGCGTCCCCAGCCGACTCCCCCAGAGGAGTATAGAACAGCATTGGCACGGGGAGGAGGAGGAGGAGGAGGAGGAGGAGGAGGAGGAGGAGGAGGAGGAGGAGGAGGAGGAGGAGGAGGCAGGAGGAGGAGGAGGAGGAGGAGGAGGAGGAGGAGGAGGAGGACATCTGTGTGGCTGTTGGTCGCTCGCCGTTTCGTTGCCTGCCTCCACCTCCCTGGCGCTCCATATGCATGTGTAACCTTCCATTGCATGTTCCCGACCCCCCCCTCCGTGGCGAAGGCCACTGGGGGAGGGGGGGAGTACAGCAACATTCGCTACCGAAGCCCGACATCATGAATGTCGGGTCGAGGAGGATTGGCTGGATAATCAAAGCGGAAACGGAAAGGAGTTTTTCACAGGACATGGACGCGCCGCTGATGAAGCTTTTCTTCTCGCTGGACGCCATGGTGAGCGATGGGCTCGCTCCTGCGGACGAGGCGCGCCACGAGATCCCTCCTCCACTCCCCTCCCCCCCGTCTCTCGGCGGCTTCGTTTTTCCTCCCTCTTCCTTCCTCTTCTCTCCTCGTTCCTCGGCCTTCCTCCTTCCTCCCTCCTCCTCTCTCCTCGTTCCTCGGCCTTTCTCCTTCCTCCTCCTTCCACCTCCCTCGTTTCCTTCCGCGGATGGATGCAGCAGTGGAGCCCTTGACACCGCGCCCCCCCCCTCCCCACCGTCGCAGAATTGGCCCCAAGCGTTCGGCAGCACAGGCGCGAGGGGACAAAAACATGGAAAAACATAGGGCCTCCGGGAGACCGAGGCCAATTCTGAGATTGGGTATGGTGGTGGTGGTGGGGGGGGGGCGAGCGCGGGATCGAAGACGAAAGGGTCCGCTTTTTTTATCCCCACCGGTCAGTCAGCGATTTTGTTTCCTCCCTCCTCCCTCCTCCCTCCTCCTTCCTCCTCCCTCCTCCCTCCTCCCTCCTCCTCCCTCCTCCCTCTCCTCCTCCTCTCCTCCTCCTCCTCCTCCTCCTCTCCTCCTCCTCTCCTCCTCCTCCTCCTCCTCCTCCTCCTCCTCCTCCTCCTCCTCCTCCTCCTCCTCCTCCTCCTCCTCCTCCCTCCTCCTTCCTCTTTCTTTCCTCCTCCTCCCTTCTCCTCCCTTTTTCCCTCCTGGGAAGAAGCCAAGAGACAGGAAAAGAGGGAACGACCGATCGGCAAAGAAAGAGGTAAAGAAGCAGGTGCAGAAAACCAAGAGACAAAGAAAGAGGGAAGGCCAAGTGTTCAGGAAAGAGGGGAGCGAACCAAGGGGTAGCGAAACAGGGGGCGATCTCGAGTTTTTTTTTCATGTTCAGCTGCAGGGGCGGGATTTGTGGCTGTCCGTGCTGGCTGGCGTGCTCCCGCGGCGCCGGGTCGAGCGTGAGCCCCAGCCGTCCTGGTTGGGGGGGGGGGCTGGGGCCCGCCTCTCGCCTGTGCTGCGGCCTCTCCGGCGGGGAGGCTCTGTCTTGCCCGCCGGCAGATGCAGGCCCAGCTTGCGCTTCGGGTGCGCGCGCCCGGTGGCCCGCCGAAGAAAAAAACACCTCGGCTCGCCTCTTCCTGGGGTGGGCCCCGCGCCCCCCCCCGATCCCTGCCAGGGTGTCCGGGCGGAGGCAGGTGGAGCTCTCTGCGCGTGCCGTGCGGGGCGCCGGCGCAGCGGAGGGGGCGGCGGGGGGCGGCCAGGGCCTCTGCACGAACGAAGGGGGTACGGAAAGAACGGGCACACTGCCCTGCAACAGTTCCTGTTCCTTTTGAACAGGACTCGCTGTCCTCGCCGCCGCGGCCTGTGCCCGTTCGAGACAGAAGGCCGCCTGCCCAGCAGCGGCCGCTCTTTGGGACAGAATTTGTTGTTGGGAATTGTGCCCATTCTTTCCGTGCCCGTTTCGGGCGGCCAGGGCGAGGTGGGCGCCGTTAAGGGTGGCAGAGCCTCGAGTGGGAGATCGACTGCAGAATTGACTCGCATCAAAACTGATGTTTTTTTTTCCCCGGCCATCCTCTGGTGTTGGGTCCTCGTTTTGAAGAGATAGCGCCCCGCGTTCCTTCCTTCGTTCCTTCATTCCTCCTCCCGCTGCCTCCTCCCTCCCCCCCCTCCTTGGTTCTGCATCATGACGCGCCCCTCACACGTTTCGTGGCCCCATGGGAGCTCCCTCCAGGGTCCCAGTGGCGCCGCTCGCGTGGCGGGGTCGTGTCATTTCGGCGCGCCCCTCGCGCGCTTCGTGGTCCCACGGGGAACTCCACCCAAGGAAGGTCCCAGTGGCGCCGCTCGCATGGCGGCCTCGGGTCATTTCTGCACACCCCTCGCGCGTTTCGCGTCCCCATGGGGGGCTCCCCCCAAGGTCTCCCCCACTTGGCGACGCGCAGAGGGGGGCAGGGCGAGGGGGGAAGGCTTCTTAGAAGTTCCCACCCGCTCGCCCCCCCCCCCCTCTGCGCGCAGCTTCAAGGGGTCGCCAGAGCAGGGCCCGCACCTCCCGAGACGGGGGTGACTCAGGGGCGACGGTAGGGTGCGTAATTTTACTACAGTTTGGCGCTGTTGTTTGTCTTAGTTTTATCGGGTAAGTCGCCGTAGCTGTAGGAATTTTTGTCGACTATACTTGCACAGGATCACTTCTACAGTGATTTCCTGAGCATATTTGCGACAATACAGATTCACTGAAGATGTGTGATGATTTTGTAAAACCTGCTGAGTTGAGATTGGCCAGAACTGGCTTGAAGATCACCGTCAGTTGGTTTCATGAGCACATCTACCAGTATGAGTGGGCACAGCGACGTCATGTGTCTGGTGTAGCCAGTTGTTGGCGCTGATTCAGGAGCTAGTGGCATGTGTTGCGTCCGACAACTTTCCTGAAATCGCGCAGGCGCGCGCATGTCGGGTGCAACACCTCTACGCACCTCGCCCTGTATTGCTGCCCAGGCTGGGGCGTTTCTGCGTTTTCAAGTCTGTGAGGGGCAGCATGACCTCACGCAGCCGGCCCTAACGCGCAGCGTGGCCCGTTTCCCCCGGCGGCCTCTGGGTGCGCAGTTTCAGCCTGCCGCGGCCGCAGCCCCTGCCTCGGCCTTCCCCAGCCTCAGCTCGCCCCAGCGTCTGCGTCGGCCTCGGCCGCTGCCTCGGCCTGCATCAGGGACAGCCGCAGCCTGGCTCGGCTGCGGGCTCAGCATCGGCCTCGGCCTGCTTCAGCTTCGGCCTGCACTGGCCCCGGCCAGGCCGCTTCGGCCGAATCGGGCTGCCTGCGGCCTCGGCTTCGGCCTCGGCCCGCACTGGCTCCGGACTCTGTCGCGGCCTCGGCCCCAGTTTCAGCCTGCCGCGGCTCTAGTTTTCCCCAGCCCCACCCCCGGCCAGCCTCAGCCCCAGCTACAGACTGCCGGGGCTTCTGCCTCTGCTCTCCGGGGGCAGGGGGAGATCTGCCTGCCCACCTCAAGCAGCAACGCCGGGGAGGAGGAAATGAGCCCCTACATGTCTCCATACCCCTGGAGTTGATGTCCAGTCCGAGCGCCGGCCCGATTCGCCCTGGCTGTGCTGGGGCGATGACAGCAGGAACTCCGTACCGTTCCTACGCGTTCCCAGGTGGCTCCCGAGAGTCCCCAGAGCACCACCGCGCGCGTGTCCCTGCCAGCGCCTCAGGCGTCCTCTGCTTTGTCGTTCCCAGGCCATTTTAGGTCCCATGGACTCGCAATGCACACCCAGGCGCTCCCAAACTCCCACGCGCGCCCGTGCTTCTGGGCAGCGCTCCCAAGATCTAAGGAGCCCGAACCAATCAAACTATGGAATATCAGATAAGGGATTTCTCTCGAACAACACCAAACGATGGATGTTTTGCACATCTCAGTTATCTATGCGGTTCTGCCAGACAGCAGCCAGTGCAATCATCATAGATGCTATAGCAATATGTTGATTGTTGCAGTCTAAGGTTGAACAAAGACACCTGTAGAGGAGAGGAGGAGGAGGAGCAGGAGGAGGAGGAGGATGAGGAGGAGGACGAGGACGAGGACGAGGGCGAGGACGAGGACGAGGACGAGGACGAGGACGAGGACGATGGAGGCTCCTAAGGCGTTACAGGCCTCAGAGTGCAGCGAGCTGCTCGACCCTATGAGAGCGAGCTGCTGGATCTCCGCCCAACACTAGCCAGGTAAGTTTATCAATAACCCCCGTGCGCGCCGCGCTTGCCACGAAAGGGTGCGGGGTATCAGAAATGCTGGCGGCGCCGCTCCCCAGCAGGGGGGAAGGCGGGCTGATTCTTCGGGATCCTGGCGGGGCGGGGTTGCGGGAAACAAGGCCAGCTACCCACCCCAAACCCAGGTTTGAGATGGGTGGCCCCCCTTTTTTTGTGCCGTCGCGGAGGGGCGGGGGTGGCCGTTTGTGTCGCGCTGTCGCGCCCGCCGCTCCCTGGGCAGGGCGGGGCAAATGGGGCGAAGCGAGGCAGCGTCGGGCAGGCCCCCCCCCCACGTCTGATCTGCGGGCGGGGCGGCGGCGGTGCGCTGGGGCCGCCGCTCGACGGGCAATGGTCGGGGTCGGGGCCCGCCTGTCGCTGTCGGGCATCGCGGGCGCAGCGGCCTCCAGAATATGGACAGACGCAGGCGCAGCGATGTGTTTGAGTGCTGGGGCCACCGGCCCCCGGAGGCAGTGGCGCGCATCTGGGGCGGTGCGGCGTCTTGGGCGCGAGCGCGGGGGGCGCTGGGTCTGGGGCGGCGCAGGGGCGGGGCTTGCTAGGCGCAGCGATGTGTTTTGCGCGCAGTGGCTTGCTAGGCGCAGTGGCGCGCATCTAGGGCGGCGCGGCATCGGGGGCGCTGGGTCTGGGGCGGCGCAGGGGTGGGGCGCGCCAACTGTGCGTTTTGCGTGCTGGGGCGCAGTGGCGCACATCAGGCGCGGCGCGCCGATGTGCTGGGCGCAGCGATGGGTTGGAGCGCTGGGGCCACAGGCGCAGTGGCGCGCATCTAGGGCGGCGCGGCATCGGGGGCGCTGGGTCTGGGGCGGCGCAGGGGTGGGGCGCGCCAACTTTGCGTTTTGCGTGCTGGGGCGCAGTGGCGCGCATCAGGCGCGGCGCAGGGGTGGCCCACCTCAGTCCTCGGACTCGGATGGGCCCCTCGGGGCGCCGAAGCCTCGAGCCAAATGCCCCCAGGGAGGAGTCCCCCCCTGGGGGGGGGAGGGTATTTTGTAGCTGCCGCGGCGGCGCTGGTGGCGGCCGCGCGATTTTGAGCATACCTTCTCGGCCTTTTGGCTATGATCAAGTGTAGTATCTGTTCTTATCAGTGTGACAACTGATATGTCTCCAACTCGAGACTTGCTTGTCGCATTTATTTTTTCTGGGGAGGTACATCCTTGAGCTTGCTCTGGATTCCTCAAGCACTGCTCTGGCTTGGCACACCGCCAGATGTGGTGCACCCTTCGGGGTAACAGTTGACAGTTGACATGTGTGTGTGTGTGTGCATTCCTTGTTGTGTCTACTGCGTAGCGCGCCTGACTGCACCGCGCGG